ACGAGCGGCCACATCATTCTCGTATCGTCCCAAGTGGCGGGGACTATTCCGTTTAAACTCAATAATCACGAATTAGGAGTGCGGACTAAGATCTCCAAAACGATCATAAAGAATCTAACCAAATAAACGAACAAAATAGTAACTAAATTACCACCCAATGAAACGATTGGTCAGAAACGAATCATTGAGAACAGATCATTTACACTCGGATCTGCCCCACGAGCGGCCACATCACTCTCGTATCGTCCCAAGTGGCGGGGACTATTCCGTTTAAACTCAATAATCACGAATTGGAGCTGCGGGCTAAGACCTCCAAAACGATCATAAAGAATTTCTAACCAAATCGGATGATAATTCGTTTGACAACACAAAGAATTATCCAACAAAGGTTTACTTGAAAATACTAGATGAACCACCGCTTTAATGAACATCTTAAACAAGGAAAACTCAACTGAGAAACTATCTCTTTGGATGATTAAATGTCACACTGACATCATACGGAAAAGCTCACCTAGCAACCACTACGAATCGTCAAAGAACATTACGACCAAAATACCAATTGTAAACCAAGCTAGTTTCGTCAGCAAATGGCCATCCAGCCAAAAGTCGTCACCAGACCAGTGAAGCCTAAACCACTAGACATCTGATGGATTACCAGACCAGTGAAGCCTAAACCACTAGACATCTGATGGAGGACCCCCGAGAAAACCATCAAAGCATACGTCACATGATAAACTGGCAAAACGACGGCGACTCTTTAACGGGCAGACTACCTGTTTACATTGAAACAGAAATGCCAAAGAAAGTCAGACCCAACAATAGAATAGGAAAACTAGCAAATTCTGACACGAAACTACAACACACTCACACTTGCGGATAATATATAACGAACGCACAACGAGTACATGCCGAAGACCTCTTCATAAAAGCAACAAAAGTAAAAAGTAAACAAACACATGTATGTATGTATTTGCTCGTCAATCCATTTATTGGTCAAATTAAATTTAGATCGCCAGCCAATCAAATTTTAGTATTATATCACATTTGTTTGTGCGATTGGTTTATCGTTATGATTTAAATTTATGAATTTAACCAATTTTCTCGCCGAAGGCAACTTTGGCTCAGTTGGTTATGCTGCCAATGCTGTAACAATAGTTACATATGGACAATAATAGAGTGGGATTAATTATACTCTAAGCTGCCAATGCTGCCTATTGATGTCTTTCTGGGTAACAAGCGTTGCGTGTTCGATTTCGAGTGCTGCTATGTAAATTTAATGTCGCGTGTTCAACCCTGAATTGTTTTGTTTGTAATAGGGTAGATTTGTTTTTCTTCAGAATTAAAATTCAAGTAATTTCATCCAAATCTCTAACACTAACGCTAATAATAATAACGATAATCCAGCTTTTATGGTTTTATCTTTATACGTCCTATAAGCTTTTTGTATTTCTTCGACTTTGTAACTCACTGTTTTTGACTTATAAAAGCACAAAATAACACTAATTTATTTTGATTACTGCATTTAGTTTTTAAGTTCGTTTGGTCTTGCCGCTGGGATATATATCCGTCATCTCACAATTTAGATTATACAAAGGAATGACACACAAAGATCCTGCGCTGTTGCTTTTCCTCATCAAAAGCAAAATCCGTTTCCCGTGTTACTGAAAGCAAGTTAATTCCACAGTCACAAGATCATTTGGTTCGAGAGTTAAAAGAACCATTTGATGCACTCGAGCTCTTCTGAGAGATTATGTATCGTGTGAGAAATAATCCAACAACAAACGGCGCCTCAATCACCGCAACAATATCGATATGCTGTACAACCATTACCATCGATATTCATATGTAAATATTTATTGTACACATGTACAAGTACAATATTAAAGTTTAGAATATCGAATGCCATACAAAAGATTGTTGATTTAATAACAGTTAATATGTCGATATTATTTCTTTGGTGTCAATTTAACCCTAGCTCCAAGACAAGTATTAGTGGAAACATTTCGATATTTTATGGGCAAGTCAGCATGAAGTAACTGCACGTTATACTTGCGATATAACCAAAACTGGCATCGCTTTCAAGATAGTTATTGCTACGGCTCGTCCAGGGCATGTTCGCAATCCCATACCAAAAGAGAGATTAGTAGTTGGATTTTTAGTTTCCCTGTTCAGGAATCTTCTGGTCAAATTCGTTGGGATCTTGCCAGACATTCGGATTGAAATGGATTGGTTGAATAATGATACCAAATCTGATGCCTAGTTTCCATTTGTATCCGTCATAATTACGGGGCTTACGCAAAGAGCTATTTGAATTTAACAAAGATTGTGAATAAACTTCAAGCTTACAAGTAAAAAATGTATAATTTTAACTTTCCAGGCTACTGCCTCGTTATATTTAAATTACGCAAGTTCTTCAATATTTATTGTATGATTAGTTTTTGAACCTGCAAAATCTCGAATTTCTTTTTCGAGTTGCTCTTTTAACTCTGGGATTCGTTCAATATATTCTATAATATATCCGAAAGTATCAGCTGTCTGAAATTTCAATTAAGATAATATATCAATTAAAAGAATCGTCAATTCAGATCAATTAAATGTTATAACCTTACAGTAGCGGCGCCATTCATAATCTCTTCTAAGCACTCCCGAACATCTTCTTCGTCAATGCGATCATTGTCCTCACCATTTATATTCAATCCAGAGTCTTCTTTCAAATCAAGTAGATTCAACACATCTGGCATTAATTTAGAGTCATAACCACTTTGTGTTCGTTGATCAAGACGTTGACGAATAAGTTTCTCGTAATATCTATGCACAGTCTCACGAAATTGAAGATATCATTTTGTTCTGTGAGCCATACCAATTCTGGTGATATAAAAAAGAACCCGAGCGCTTCGCTTACAATTGAGACTCCTTTTATATGGTCATCACAAAACTTCAATTCTTCTGCCAGTATTTCCTTTTTTCCCGAATTTGTAAGGGAATTGAAATACTTCATAAAACGCGGGAAATTATTTTATAAAATGTCTTTGGTTAAAAATTCTAACAACTTATTTCAACAACAAATTAATCGTGTAGAATGCTGGGTGTAGTTTTCTTCATTTAAATATTGATTAGTTTAATGTGATTGCTAGTATAAATCAACGAATTTGTTCAATGATTTTACAATAAATTCTCAATATACGTAATGATATGCATGTGGTAGAATTAATTCTACCGTTTTTCACAGTAATTGAATGGATGAATTACTAATTAGTCTGTATTAATGCTGTAGTTACTAATACGAGAAGTATATGCAGAATTATTCCAAACATAGCATTGAACTATCGCTATGTACAGTTATTCTAAAATTGTTTTTAATAATTAATTAATAATTCTATTGAAATGGATTTTGGAATAAAGCAAAATGTGACTTCATCTTATATAAAAAGCTCAAAATTTGCACACATATCTATATTAATAAAATTTTTTGATATTAAAATTCAAAGTCTAAAAATCAGAAAATTTTATGTGAAATTTTAGACATTGGATTTTTTTCATTTTTAATTGAATAACTGTAAAAAACTTTTGATATTCAAAAATACTACACAGTCAACGGTGATGTAACGGACCCCTCCGTTCCTGCCATGCTGTCTGATCCGCTATAACAGAGAAAATTTATATAATGTTATTTATAGCCGGTTCCGAAAAATAGTCTGTTATAGACCAAATCCGTTATATCGACGTTGACTGTAGCACTATTTACGTATAAAGTATTATACTCGATATAATAATTTTTATACGAAATATATCAGAAAATATTAAAATTTACAGATAGATCCTCTAGAATATTATAAATAAAATACTTGAGAATTCTCAATAAACTTATTCTTTTTCTTAATTTTTATTTAATCTCAATTCTTTTTATGAATTAAAATGTGAGCTGTAAAAATTTAAATTTATTAAGCTATTAAAATTTCTAAGTAAGTAAATATGGTCAGCTTTTGATAAAGCATATTTTATCCAAGTTTTTATATAATTTTCATTTTTTTTCTTGAAATAATGAAGTTAGAAATTTTTGTCATAATTTGATTTTTTCATTGTATTACAAAAAAGATTAAAATCATTTGAAAATGTTTTTATAATATGAAAAACAAGTTACTAAGTCTATTTTTTGGAATGAAATATTTGGGTTCGAAATTAAATATCTTTAATTAAATTGTTTAGAAGATCTTAAAAGATGAAAATTTAAATTTTCATATATATACAATTTGTTTTAATAATTTATAACAATTAATAAAAATTTGATTTATTTTATATCGATTATGTTGTGTCTTATTTTTATTTTTGCTGAATCTCAAAATTAAAATAATAATAATAATAAATAATTCTATCGAGCATTATGAATTGTTTATCTGTAAATTCTCAACGTACTGTAGTAGTAGATATACTAAACAAATACAATTACAGTGCTCGTCAGAAGTCACCTACCCTCCCCATAACTTTCCGTAGATCATGTGTAATGTACCAAAAGTTTCCGAGCACAAAGAACATTAAAATGCTGATCGTTGATACCTTTTATGTTTCTATATCGGGGGTTGTATGTTCACATCCAAAATACGTACATGCATAATCAGTTATTTCATAACACACATCTCAACATTCAATAAATAACTAATTATTGATGTTCAGTGATCCGATTTGAACAAACATACAACCATTCGATTCGTCCAGTCGAGGTGAATCAAATGGTAATATTTTTGTTCAAATCGGATCACTGGCCATCGTTAGATTCTTTTTTGAAGAAAAATTGATCGACGAATATGAAACGATAATATCTCGACGTCTAGTGATCCAATTTGAGTGAAATACTATCATCCGAGTTTTCTAATCTAGATAAATCAAATGATGGTATTTTTGCTCAAATTGGATTACTAGACGTCGATATATTATGTCCTAAAGTGAACGATTCATTCTATTTAGGACATGAAAGTTTATAAACATACAATACGCAATATGGATATAGAATCTATAAAGGGTATCTATGATCAGTATTTGTAATGTTTTTTGTGTATGGAAGATTTTGGTTCATTACACATGATCTACGGAAAGTTATGGAGGGTAGGTTACTTCTGACGAGCATTGAATTCCTGGATATCACATAGATTTGTCTGATCCCGAGGTCTTCACTATATCCAAAGTAAGTTATTAAAAAAAATTTACTTATCGTTATGAGTATCGGACACATGTACAGTATAAACTAATTTTTATTGTAGATCTTATACATAATAATCAATCTGACCAATCAGAATTCTTATTTTAATAATAGTTGAAAAATTTTAAAAATATAAAACCCTCTTTACAGAATTACAATCTGTACGTATAAATAAATTAAAGTGAATATCTTATGCTACCCGCTATATGTGTGACTACGATTTTTGCGTAACGGTAA